GAAGAGGTAGCGAAGAAACTAAAAAATAAATTAGTATCATTGAAAATTGACGCCGCCACCTGTATGTATCGCTCTTTTATAGGAATAAATGTGCAATACATAGAAAAAACACAAGTTGTCTTACACACTCTCGCAGTGCAAGAAATTTACGATCGACATACAGCTGCAAACTTAAAAGATATATTAAAAAATGTACTTTTAAGATACGGAATATCTGTGAGGCAGATTTATTCTATAACGACGGACAACGGATCTAATATGATTAAACTTGTTGAACTTCTTGGGGANNATCAAGAAGAATTAGAATATAATGAGNAAAATCATATTGAAGAGCTAGAACTTTCATTGTCAAATGAAGAACTCAATTTNGACAATGAAGAAAATAAAGAAAATATAGAAGAAGTAAGATATCAGGTCAGATCAGTGCGGTGTGCAGCTCATACACTGCAATTAGCAGTATCGGACACACTAAGAGATAGTACAATTTCGGCAATTATATCCAAAGCGAGAAACGTCTGCAAAAACTTACGGTCGCCGCGGTTGTTAAAAGCTTACTGAAAGCAATGAATAAAAAAAAAACCGATTCTGGATTGTCCAACGCGGTGGCACTCAACGCTAGATATGCTCGAGCGTCTTTTAGAATTAAAAGAATGTTGTGATAGTAACGATAAGGATCAATATTTATNTCCTNAAAAATGGGCCGAAATTAAAANNNTNNTGCGTTCTTTAACGCNAGCTNGTATTGCAACCAAGAAGTTGCAAGAAGAACAACTTNTTATCGGAGATTTTTATCGCACGTGGTCACAATGTATGCTAGAAACTACGAAATTAAAAACAATATTAGGAAACAAATTAATTGAACATATGAAAATACGAGAAAAACGTCTGTTTGAAAGTGATTGTTTTTTGGCAGGTATGTATATATATATTCCTCGATGTGCGATGTAAACTCATCAAGTGTATGAGAGTTTGAGACAAAAATTTTTAATATTGATGTTTTCTTAACAGCTATGTTTCTGGATGCAAGGTTCAATATAATATTAAACAAAGAATAGAATGCACAAGCCCAAAATCATTTAACACGTACGTGGCAGTACAAAGAAAAAATGATAGAAGAACATGAAGAAGGATCATTGCATAACAGACGTGCATCAACTTCCTCCAATATAAATGAGGATGAAGCTGAAATAGATGACGTTGAAAAGATGTTGAGGGAATTAGAAAAGAAAAGACGCTGTCAAGACAATTCCACGCCTTCAATAAATATTTTGAATATGTTGCAAAGTTTTTCAAATTATCCTCGTTTAGATTCTAAACAAAATATTTTGGAAGTTTGGCAGAAACAAAAAAGTAATATTCCTGCATTATATTCTTTGTCTAAAATAGTTTTAGCAGTCCCACCTACACAGGTTAGTGTTGAGAAACTGTTCTCATCATTGAAATATATATTATCATGCTTACGTTAATAATCTATCTGATAATATTCTTGACGATATTCTAATTTTCAGAACTAATAAAAATGGAAATTTTTAACAAATTTGGATATCGATAAATATGTCTATGTGTATTTTGTTACTGTTCTTAAGTATATTAATTATTAACAATTAAGACTTAAGGCTCGTTGAAATTGTCAACAAGAAATATATAAGGCCATACGAGCCATTCGCAGGATGTTTGTGCGGAAA